TACATACATACATAATGTATATATCGAATCTTATGGAAAAAGTGGCAATCACTGTTTTTATGCCTTGCAATACCTTGTGCAATAATAAAATAATAAAATAATTTAACACTAAACTAGCAATTGATATACATGTTTCATAAAAGCAATTGTTTCCTTCTTGGCATTTTAAACTGAAGTAAATAAATGATTCTATTTTATATATCTATATAAAAAAGACATAGTTGCTTTTAAGAAAAAGTATGCAGATGCGTGTTGCAAATTACATATTTTTTCTTAAAGGAAATATGCCTTTTTTTATACCAATTGATTCGTCTCATTATTCTGTGCATAAAAGTGTTAAGGTAACATTACCGAAAACTTAATTTTTTACAAGATATTTTGTATTTTATGTCAAAATACTAGAACTTTCAAGCATTATAATTCCAAAAGTTCTTAATGAAAAAATACTTTATTATAGTGTTTTGAAAAGCTCTCGAGATTAGCTACAAGAATATGCATTGAAAAATAGGGATTTCTATTTAAGAAATTAAAGGTGAGTGAGCTTTAAACGATCATCCAAGGTGAAACCAATGGCACCATCTTATGTGCCCCTTCGATCCAAACAACTTTTGTATAAAACATTTCTTCCGAAAACGTCAACTTTCCGAGATAATCCAAGGTCCCGACCTTTTTGTTACACCCGGTATATATATATATATATATATATATATATATATATATATTATTCCTTTATATATATTTATTGTAAAGTATTTTCATATATATAATTGTCAATTACATCAAAAAGATATAAAAAGATACAAATATTGAAAAAATTATAAAAGATTTGTACATTTCTGATGATAAAACAGTGATTATATAAGGTAAAACTCCCTTCTTTGGAATAATCGAATAGCCAAAACAGTCGATAATGTCAGTATTCTTCAATTACCACCGGGCCCCCGGGCAGTCACGAAAATTTACCCCAGGGTTGTCGGTCTTTAATAGTATCTCGTCGGTGATATAGTGTATAGTATATGTCAATTTATGACATATGACCACGGTATAACTGTACATACTGTGTCATAACTGAAGTGAGCAAGAAAAAAAATAAAAGTGTAAGCATTGTACTTAATAAATCCAATTTCATTAAAATTGAATGTGATTTTATATTATTATTTAATACTGAAATGAGAATATATATATAGAGAATACATAACCTCAACTGTAAATCATCAAATTAACTATAATATTGATAAATATAAGCTCAGACTATCGCTTCAACACATTTTTAGTATAAAAATGATTTTCAAAATTGTTCTGTTTTCTTTTTAATTTATTAAATTTACAAATTTGCTAAATTTATATAAAAACTCTTAAATTTATCAAAAAAATTATTTATTGGATTATTTACTGCATTTATTAACTTTTTGTGATAAATTAAATTTATCAGTATTAATTGTTTGTTACTATTTACTTAATTTCTTAATTTACGGAATTTATTTCATTTAATTAAGATTTATTTATTTACTTTAATTTAATTGAAATAATTCTCCAATTAGAATTGAATTTATGTAGACATATTTTTGATACAGTTATTTTGTTTTATTCAAAAATGACGCGTAATGCCTGCCGTCACTTCCGCTCCCATTAATGGCGGCTTTGTCCCATCCCTTATTAAAGTATCTTTACTTTGAACGAATGGAATATTACAGATAGAGTTGCGTCGCAGTGACCGTCTTAAGTGTAGGGATTCTCTAGTGGCTGCGTTCGGAGAACGCGCTATTAGCGCTATTGCATTATTCTATCTTTATTGCTTATCAGGTGTAAAACAAAGATAGAATAAGCAAATAGCGCTAATAGTGCGCTCCCCGAATCCAGCCAGTGAGGGATGGGACAAATCCGCCATTATAATGGGATAGCGGAAGTGACGGCAGGCATTACGCGCCATTTTTTAATAGAACAAAATAACTGTATCGAAAATATGTCTACATAAATTCAATTCTAATTGGAGAATTATTTCAATTAAATTAAAGTAAATAAATAAATCTTAATTAAATGAAATAAATTCCGTAAATTAAGAAATTAAGTAAATAGTAACAAACAATTAATACTGATAAATTTAATTTATCACAAAAAGTTAATAAATCCAGTAAATAATGCAATAAGTAATTTTTTTTATAAATTTAAAGGTTTTTATATAAATAATTAATGGCACATTTTGAAGTCTTTCTGACTTGAATTGCGACAATTCACAGCTTCACAATATCGCATTTTCTAAATAATTTAAATATATTTATCAATATTAATTTAATGATTTATAGTGGAGGTTATATATGTATTCTCTATATATATTCTCATTTCAGTATTAAATGATAATATAAATTCACATTCAATTTTAATAAAATTAGATTTATTAAGTACAATACTTACACTTTTATTTTTTCTCTTGCTCACTTTATCAGTTATAACACAGTATGTATAATTATACTTGTGATAATACCAGGCTACCAGACTTGAGAAACCTTACACAATTGAATTACTTGCTTTTCATTCATTCGTCTCTCATCTATAACCTACATTGCACCACGTGTTCAACTACTGACTCTACTCTCTCGACTCTTGGGATCTTGCACTCTCAACTTGATCCTCAGCACTTCTGGACACAGTGCACACAGGATGCGGAATCGCTTGCTGCTTGCAGCTCGGCAAGGAGCGATGCGGTAGCCAATTAACGTGCCGTTTTTTCGTAAAGGACTCTGAATTTTGAAGGCTTATGTCCAGGTTATGATTTAGTCAATATTTCTTTATGGGTTAATTGCATGAAATTGTAAAACGTTTTACTTAATTTTTAATTTAAAAAATATATAAAAATTTGGACAATTTTCAAAGCGAAAAAACTAAGAAGAATGAAATTGGAATAAATACTCGATGTTCTCGTACTCGAGAACTCGATATTATATACTTTGTTACATATAATAGTTACATTTAATAGAGAAAGTATAGTTTAGTGAGTGTTTAGTGGTTATTGTCTGTGATGACTACAAAATTCTTAATAGATCCATGAGAATATAATCAGTCAAGAGCGTTTCATAATTATTGTTTAATTATAATTATTATTTATTTGAACAATTAGAATCAAAAGCCATGCGATCCGAGCTTAGGTCTTTGACAGCCTTATATTAGTTACTGTATACATATATGTCTATATATATACATATAATTTTTTCAACATACTGCGCGCCGATTTCTTTTCGGACTTAAAACACAGTAATTGTTAGAATTAAAAACCCTTCCCTCCCCGGAATTAAATCGACTCGATTTAATTATCTAATAACTGTAAAGAAAATTTATTGCGAAAAATATTACCTCAGCCAGGGTTTGAACCTGGAACCTCCCTCATTCCGTGTAGGGCGTCATACCAATTCGACCACCGAGGCATGTGGTAATATTTATCGCAATAGCCGGTTAATAATAGTTTTGAGACGTCTTTCTCAGGCGACGTGAATAATAATAATAATAAGAGAAATAGGATCGTAACGGTATACGAACAATTAGAATCAAAAGCCATGCGATCCGAGCTTAGGTCTTTGACAGCCTTATATTAGTTACTGTATACATATATGTCTATATATATACATATAATTTTTCCAACATACTATTATTTATTTATACAATTTTATTTTATTTTTTAATTATTTTGTCATTTTTTATCTTGTAATATTTTTCACTTTTTCCAACTTTTTTAAAAATTTTTATAATAAAACACTTTTGATACACATTAATTTGTTTCTTTTTTTGTCTCAGGGTCAAAACGATTATCTAGTAGTCTGGTGGTAATCCTATATCGATGACCATCATATCAAGAGATTCTACAGGTGAAGTCAGAACAAGCAAATGAGCGCGAACAAAACAAAATGCTAGAAAAGAATGATGTTCGCACGTGTGAGTGAGGAAGGCGAAAATGGGTGAGAGACCTCTGACACCGAAGCACTGAAGCAACACGACACTTTATTTAAACAACCAAAATAATAAACAAATTAAAGAACAACATAATTTACAACACATTTGAATTTTGACCGAAACTGCGGAAACGCGGACGTTTTAAATATCGCTATTGATATTCTTTCGCGCGCTCGCCATGTCTGACTATCCGTTTCCGAAGTGACCATTGCCGAATCGACGATTCACTCTTGAATGATAACTGACAAAAGGCAACTAGCCGCAAGTTCTGTGGGTTTTTATAGTAAGAGGGGCCTGATAGAGCATCATGCATTTGGCGTGCCCGAGCTTTGTCACTCAATAAAATCGTGATTTATATTTAATTTCGCAATCTTGATTGTAGATCGAGCGCTTTCTTTCGAATTGGCAAAGCTCTTTAGATAAGCTTTACATTTTGCAATTTGCCCTTTCAAAGATAATGAAGGGCTAAGCCCATAGTACTTATAAAACTTTGTCCTTCGATAAAAATTAACACAGAAGTAATATTTTTGAAATTGACTTCCAAAGCGGTTCCTTATATAAGTAGATTCAAAGCTTTCAGTGATTTACAAGGCTTGAAAATTTAAACTAACGAAGATACGCAGGTTTCTTTTGAAATTCGGCTTGTCAGAGCAGAGAGAAACCTGAGAGAGACCATCCCGGTCTTTTTCGTGGGACTCAGTGTTTCTCGATAGAATATTTAGAATTTCGCGTCATATATTACTTGACTGGCGTAAAGCCATTTTCTCAATCAAAAATAGATGGATAGGTTACACAAAATCGATGCTTTGTTAAAATAAATTTGAGCAATTAATAACAATTAATTATCAAGTTTTCTATCAAACAAATTGCATAATAAAACCAAAATATTTTTTACCTTTTTTATTTATGTATAATTTATGCATATTGCACGCTTTTCTTTATGCAATACTAATTATCTATATTTTGCTTTCTTGCATCAATTTATATTATATTTAATCTTGGATAAACATATGAAAAGAATAAATAGGTATAAATAAAACATCCTAACTAATTCACAATTTTTCCTTATCTACAAATTCTTTTCTTACATCTAACACGATATCTTTTTTGTTTAAGAAAATAATGTCGCAAAAAAAACTTTTTAAAAAAATCTAAATAAACATTTATTGACTACAATATATTCAAAAAATCATGACTTTAATTATTAAATTATTATTTCATTTCTTGTTTCTCTTTCTTGCATTTCTCAAATATTTGTTACTCTAACTGTAAATACAATTGATCTACGTAACAAAATTTTAAAAATTTATTTTCTTATGTACTTAAAAATTGTATTCAAAAGTTATTTATAATAGAACGCGGCAGTTCGCCAACATAACTCAATAAACGATTATGAGCTCTTTGCGAGCTCCGTGCATGCAAAGTGTGCGAGTATTTCCTCGAGCACAATCGCACAATATATTGATAAATAAGTGATATCAAGATTAAATATATGCCATAATCAATTTTAACCCATCCATTTTAAGGCAACGGATCTACGAAATATATGTAATATTTTTATAGTATTAATTATTGTAATTTGACATGACCAAGATATATTTTTTCTCTATATATTTGATTATTCGTAGATTCGCTCAATACCTCAATAAAAAAATTTCTCATTGACTCACCGATCCGATGCGCAACGGGTGGAGTTATGCAGTTACGTATTATAGCTACGGTGATACTGTAACATACAAACATAAGATTTAAGTTAAAGAAACGCTCAAAATTATATCAACATTTCAAAAGTTAATTCTTACGCGTCTCTAATTCGTCTTTCAATGAAATATTTAGCAATGCAATTATCTATTTACTGAAAAAGATCTTTAGTAGAGTAAAATATTAAATAATTTTTCTGTCTCTAATTACTTCTAATTTATCGTGATAAAACAATTCGAATAAATAAAAATAAATTATTAATTTTATAAGAGATATGATACTTACCCCAAGATTGCTCCGCCAGGGCCCGATGTCTCTCCCAGACCTCCTGCTCCTCTCAGGCCTTCTCCTCTCACCGCACAGGACACTCGCGAGAAACACTCGCGGATAACAAACTACAATCGCGCGCGGACTAATTTCAGTAAAAGTCTTTCTCGCGCGATACTGTACGGCACTCCCGTTTAAAAAAGTCTTTCAGTCCGATTACTTGAACGTTGAACGGCACTCCCGAAGCAAACGCGACGAACCGGCTGCGGTTCGTTCATTCAATTAAATCGGCGGACGAGGGTACGTTAGCTTCCCCGTCTTTAGATTTTTATCCAAGCAGAACAAGAGTTTTGCTTGGGTAAAATTTTCGTACTGGGTACTGGGCCTTCCCACCTCGCCAAGGTCGTACTCATGGGAAGGAAGTACTTTACTCTGTAATATAAAAGCAGATAACATAGATTTTTCGCGTTAATTTGAAGGAGTCGCGACGCCGATTGCCGCGTTTCACTGCGTTGCAGTCGCGTTAATGGCGATGAAATGTTGGAAGATCTTGACGCGAAATATACTACGCGAATCAAGTGGACGGTTAGTAAAGACACGCAGTTGATTAAACAAAACCACAATTAATAAGATTAAATGTCGTACGCACATTACGGTATCGAGACTATCGAGCACGTAAATCTCGCGAATGTAAGTAGTGTAAATACTATTAATGCATGCTTTGCACAACGAGGCGAGTCGCGATTACGTGGCACGAAATACACGAGTTACGAAAATAAGAAATATTCATGAACGAGCGTTGTATGTTGTATCACAGAGTGCTATTACTTGAATCACTTACTTGAATCACGATACGATTTCACGTTGTCTGCCATGCACACATTCGATAGTCCAGACATATGGCGGCCCGGGGCGGGGGACGAGCGATTATCGCCCGCGAATATGACAAACTGCAAATCACTCACAACTCACAATTGCCGTACCAGAGGTACCTGCTTCGCCTCGAAATCTCCGCCTCGAGCGAGCGATTCGCGCGACACATTAATTCATTCACGACACTTGATACACCAGGAATGCCAATCGCACGAACGAGCGCGCGTTCCGAATAACAGCACCCACGGCACGGAGCACAAACACTTCACACCTGTCCGAAATTCATCGGGAGAATGATTGAGTAATATCCGCGGGTAAACAGTATCCCGAGCGTCGACGAAAACAAGTAGCAATGCCGTCTCGCCGATGGAAACAATCGTCCGCGCGCCGACTTTGAACGTACGCTGCTCCGAAATTGGCGGATTCATTCAACGGTCGCGGCATCGTGACGACACTGACGACACGTGACTGCCGAGAGTGCCGAGTGCCGCGTGCCGCGTCGGCGCGCGGCGGCGGGCGGCGAGAGCGGCCGAACGTGATTCGGCCGGATTCGGGAGCTCCCGGCTCAACTCATCGCCGCGCGGCGCGCGCGCAAGTAATACGTTACTCGTTGAACATCGGTACGATGAGTCGCGGGTCGCGGTGAGACGTTGTCGCTCGTGAGTAATTTCTTTCTCGTGAACAAAAAGAAATCCTCCGGTTACAGAGTGTGTGTGTGTGTGTGTGTGTG